AAAAAGATTACACATTACTAAAAATGATGATGTGGTTGCAAGTATAACTTAACGGCAAATCGACTAGAGTTCAAGTCACGCCCAAAGTTCAAAGTATATTTATGTGTATATTAAACGTGATGATAAAAAATATGAATAGTGTAAGACATGCAAAAATTAGTAGAATATGGAAAATAGAAGGAAATCATGAATGAAATTTAACAATAACCTGGAATGATGGCAATGCTGCTTCAGTAGCCTTTTTCTGACTCTCAAGAGTGCAAAAGTAGGAATAAAGAACCATCCCAACAAGGGCAATCGCAATCCCCAGTATATTCCTCCAGTTAAACGGGTCATGAAGTAATATGTAACCAAATGCCAGTACTAGACATGTCTTCAGATGACCCAGAACCTGATAGGTCACAGGGGATGTCTTTCCAATAACAAGAAATGTGCTAAAATTCACAGACACTGAAATCAGGCAAGATAGAATGATGAAAACCTGTAGGTAGAGAGTGCAAATAGAGTCAACGATACATTCGAAAAGAAGGATAAAGATAGATTTGGAAACCAAATTCTTCCAATCCTCACCAGCACTTGAGTTGTGTAATTGAAATCAAATACATTTTGATTTGTGAGAAACCAGTCCAAAAAGGGACCGGATATTAACAAGGTCCCCGCTTGATATGGACATGACTGATATAGAAGTTGGGTTGAAGAAACCTTATATTTCTTCTGGATGGTATTGGTCATCTGAAATGAACTAGTTAAGATTTCAAACAAGATTACACAAAATAGGCAAAAACAAGCTCTTATTGAAATGGCCAGAATCAGACCATATATTTTCTGATCATTTATGCAAAAGAAAGACGGAACCTCCTAAAATTCTAACAAGAACACGTCTGTCAAACTCGTAACATGCACACTCCATGCCAGTTAAGTACTCTAGAGTCTATTTCATTTCACAAAACAGAGGACACTGTTCTTATGTAGAACACCCCCGTGCATTCAGGTAATAAAGTTAAATATTCTCATTATATAATTTCAGAATTTCTTTTTAGATACGAGGTTCATACGCAAAATCTGTACTGTTCAGACAGAATTTTGCTTTAAAGATCAAGCAACTCCTAAAAGCTCATCACTCAAAAAGTGAAATATGTGGGGGAATCATTTTCCTTCCAAAAGGATACAATTTGAGCAACACATGTTGTGAGAACCGCAAGAAGAGACAAGATGCAGCCCAGCGCATTGAGTTGAATGTCGGTAATTGTTGCAATCCCAACACCAAGGAGGAGAATAAGAAGAGATAGCTGAATGCTTCTACTGCAATAACACAAAAGCTGCATCAGTACACCCCTATGACAATCTTGCTTTAGGCTTTAACAAACACATTCAACTTGCATAACTCTGTTGTATCTTTCGCAATGTTAAGAGGTGTTTGAAATAAACAAAGTGTTTACAACTTGTAGCATGTATTGACGTCCATGACTGGAGGCCTAACGCATGAGGATTAACTTTACGTTTATACGATCATAGTTCACTCTTGCAAAGAAATTTTAAAGTAAGGAGCAGAAACATGTTCTATATCCTGGCTTCAGTCTTAAAGTTGGAGAAAGGGTGACAATATATCAATGAAAACCTGAATCTTTTTGCGAGGGAAAGA